TGCTGAACCAATCCAAACCACCCATTAAACATGATTTTAGAATGAAACTATCTTATTCACCACTTTTTACAGTGAAGGAGGAAAAGGGTATATAGAAGGCACCCTACCTTGTCCCTAGTTCTCTGTCACATTTACAAAACTGGGAAACCAGGAATTGCTAAAATCTGTCCGCAACAATGATTGGATGTCTGTTTATTTTCATGAACCCTATCCTAGCCTGGCTGATTTTGCAGGAATTTGGCAAGGAAAATGAGGCCTACTTAGCCTTCAACACTGGGATTGCCTGTAAAATACATACAAGAATCCAACTCCTTAACATTCCTATTGCACTGAGATAGAAACTTTGTGTTTAACATTAATTACCAGCCCTAGATACCCCATGCTAGAGCAGCAATTACTTGTTAACACAAAAACTTGGCTGTTTGCAAGCAGCAAACTAATTATAAACAGCACAGAGACCTCAGTGCTGTTCAGTGCTGCTTGGCTGGCAAAAGCACTCCTCGGCAGCACGACCTTTGACTGCATCGTTGTGTTGAGCAGCCCCTGCGTGTCCTGAGCTCTTGGGAACTGACGAGCCACCTCAGAACCCCACGGGTAATCAATAGGGGAGCGATTTATGTCTCTTTAACAAAGGAGGGAAAAAATGTGTTTTGACTTCTCGGGAGACAGAGCCTCCCACATGAAATGTGAAACAAACAGCAGCATATTGTCAGTATTCCTGGAAATGTTCAGCAGCAGGAGCTTAGATACTCAGAGGCATTTGATGAAGCTTTGTTTGTTCATGTGGGCAGGCACAATTGCATCTAACCGTGCATGCTCCTTCACAGCTGCAAGCCCTAGAATCAAGTGACCTGAGGTGTCCAAGTCAAGGTGTCTTAAAATTACTGCTATTCAAGACAGTAGCTGACATTTTAAACAGATTACCCCCTTTTAAACTGTGTTAGTCTGGGTACCCCAAAATAAGCACTTATAATTTGTAATTGTTTCTAAAAAACATAAATGTATTGTTCCTTGTTGAAACTAGGAACAGAACTAATCAAATAGGAAACCTTGTCTAATTTTATCACTTAACTAGCGAAGGGAACAAGACAGGACTGTAAATGTGACCAAAAGATGAATGCGGTGGTAGCAAGAATCAAGTCTGCAATTGCTTCATGACAGGCAGGCAGCTTAGCTTTCTGGCATTTGCAGAACATCAGGCTTTGTGGAAGAACATGACTGGCTATGACAAACTGCTGGTGACAGAAATTATCCTTCACGTGACCTGAGCTTTCTCCATCCTCCAAGTACAGGACTGTCTCCAACTGTCCTTGCTCAGAAACCTTCTAAATTTTAAAAAGAGAACATTGCTCTCAAATCTAAGAGGACTGTAAAAAATCCTCTTATTTTGCTCTTTGTCCTCAATATTTCCCTTTCTTCTAATAGTCCCTCAACAATTTGACTACTTATCGTTCAGCTTCATTCACACAGGATAAATCAGTCGCTTGTCACATGATCCAAAATCACTCCCACACGCTCTCTTCTCTACTTGGGCCTCCATAATGAAGACTCCAAATTTATTGAGCTCTCAGCTTATCTGTCTTTTTGGCTTCTAGCTGGACCCCTTTGCTGAATCTTATACTGGTGACCCGTTCAGTCCCACTGCGGCTCGTTTCCTTGTTCTTGCCTCTTTGACCTCCTGCCACGGGTCAGTGCCTCTGCTCCCTAGAGGTACCGTTCACCAGACTTGGTCTTCATTGAACATTGCTTGCTCACTTGCTCGTGCGCTCTCTGGCCTCTGTGGTGTTAGTACTCTTCTGTGTTCGTCACCCCCTCTCCTTCAGGATTGTGCATCATCTGCTGCTTAATTCCACCGCTTATCCTTCCTTTGTCTTCCAAAGACGTGACATCTCTTCCAGTTATAGTTCCAGACATTATTTCTTCCGGTTCCAAGACTATTGATCCTCATGCTACTTCATTCTTTTTTACCCTTAATCTTTTCTTAGGCCTTTCTCCTATTACTGGGACTGCCTTGTCTACCAGCAGTGGCAGGCAACTATCAATATTTAATCCTCTGCTCTTGTACAATACACAGAGGTTCTGAGTGAGCAGCCAATGTGTGTCCAACTGCAGCTTGTCTTTGCAGCTGCACCCCCTCCTATTTCCACCTTCTGGCTTACCAGGAAGTTTTACTCTTTGGAGTCCCAACCCTAGCTCATGGCCTAGCCACCTTCTGCTTCACAGGCTCCATAGGAATAGCCGTCCTCAACCTGTTAGTGAGCCCTTAACTGCAAAACTTGTACTTCATCTCCTTAGTCTGTCAGACTTTGACACCCTCGGCCATGCCATGTTATCAGGAGAAGGGGTCTAGTCCTGATTTATGCAAACTTGTGTCACTTGTGTTTGGCCAGAACATCACTCAAATGTCTCAGCCCTTGCTGTTACACTCTCTACCTCACAGATGAGCCACATTTTCAAGGCTTGCTATTTACAAGCTGTCACTTCTCACTGTCTATCAAAGAGCTGCCTCCTGACTCGAATGATGACAGCCTGCAAGACCTTCTTGTTAGATTTCCAGATAAACCAGCTTTCCTCAAATGCATGCCATGTGTTCCCTGCCACTCCTATCCACTTTTGAGACCTGTTACGCACAGAGCTCCCGTCTTGTGTGCAGGAACATAAAGGAAAAAAAGAAAGTCACAAACTTTTTTTACTTTCAAGTCAGTTTGTAGAAAGTGAAGCCTGTAAACTCACAAATCAAACAGTTGCAAGCTAAGGATTGATTCCTGCCACGGATGAAATCAGAATTCTGAGCAGAACCTTGAGGGGATAGATGTTAGTCCAGGAAAGATTTCTGACTTTTGCTTGGCAGAAGAAAAACAGTGCTGTGAGCGCTGAAACGTCTCTATCGTGGACTACTTTCTGTGAGTGCTTGAAGCATCGCGGGATACGCGAGGCAACGCGTGACACCTCTGCCCTCTGTTGGTCTTGAATGGCAGATCTTGTGTGTGCAACAAGATCTGAACGCTCAGCCCTTTGTGCCCGTAGATTCTACAACCATTATACGTATAGGGAAAACTCTCCCTCAGGCCAGTGTAAACATCAGGATCTGAATTAGGTGCTTGGTGCTGGTGATGCAGATGTCTGCACGATTATGAGTCTATCAGAAACAAGAGGAATGGTCTCGCTAGGGATGCGAAAAATACTGTACAGGCTTATATAAAATTACATGTAAAAAATAAGATCTTGGCAAGTCATTTTGAGGCTAAGTAGGTGGCTGGCATAGCTTTGAAGAAGTGTGAAGTACTGCCAGTAACAGAGAGCAGTTCTGCAGCCCAGTGTCGTCTTGTTTTGCTCATTAGTGGTAAAGTGTCTAAATACCGACAAATTCATACTTTTTAGTTAGCATAGGAGGGACAGATGGTGTATACATCTATATGGTAATGAGTCTTAGCTTATTTTGTATCACAGGAATATACCAGTTCCCAGAGGGAACAGAGCTCTTCCCTGTACTGTTATGTACAGTTTCTATACCTTTCATCCTGCTACCAAAGTTGAACAAACCTTCCGACTTAGCACTAGCATAGTCATTGTACGCTGTGTTGTCATATGCAGACACTTAATGCAGATGCTTAAAGCACCACTATTTAGCAGCATCAGATGATGACATTAAGGAGCTGCACCAAAGAGAGAAGAGGAGGAAATATATCTTTTACTGACTGACAAAGACTTTTAACGGTGATCAGTAACTAACAGCTTAGAGAGAAATTTGCCCGTTAACTTCAGTCGTGATTTCAGAAGCAGTGTGCCACAGAGATCCCAGTATCTTCATCTCCTGGGTGCTGTACCTGTATCTTAAATATTTTTTTTCTGACAACAAGCTGCAAACAATTGTTACAATCCTGCTCAGTCACATCAACTCTTAACTCAGTACTTGGCTGGGGTTGTCCTGTTTCAGCTCCTGCAGTGTCCTGCCAATGCAAATAGGTGCCTTTGCTTCTTGTATCAACGTTAGCTACATACAAGACCATATTTTAACACAATAAAAGAAGAGTGGGGGAAAGGGTCTATGTGGGTAAAGCTGAGGAACTACTGTACTTCTTTAAAATTTCAAGCCTTTGCTGGTGTAATCAAAATGCACTGAACGTCCAGCTCCAGGAGGCAGAAGTCAGTGACAGATCATACTTACGGTATTGCCTCGGTTCTTCTTTTTCCAGTTCAGATGCTGTGGAGTCTCCAACTACACTGACTGGTTTGAAGTGTACAATACAACCCGAGTGCCGGACTCCTGCTGCTTAGAATTCAGTGAGAACTGTGGACTCCATTCCCCAGGGACCTGGTGGAAAGCGGTGAGCAGCTCTCCAGCAGCAGCTCAGCAGCTTTAACACTGCTGTTGCAATCATACAACCACACAATATACCTCAACCCAGGTAAAGGGCAGGCAGCTAGTCATTTGCAGGGCTATACAGATGATAAGGTATGTTGTACCCTTACTCATCTTTAATCAGGTGGTTTCAGAAGACTCATGTTGACCTGTGGCTTTTGACCTCCAGTGAATGCCAATTTAATTATTTTTACGAGCTGAAGGCTTCAGCACCTCCTGGAGCGCTCTGCTCCTGCCAGGAACCCTAGTTCAGGGGCTTCCACTGCACAGCAGGAGAGTGGGAACTGTTCCACCGAATTGCCAGCAGCATCTTTTTTTGCAATGAGTTTCTGCACTTGCCTGTAATCAAATTCAAAACTCCATGGGATAATTTCCCTACTATGTCCTCAGCAAGATCTTACCAGAGCAGATAGAGCCTAAATTCTTCTCTGAAATTAGCTCAGCAATTCTTTGTGCTAATTACAGGTAGTGTACAGTGCAGTTACCCAGGAGGGGTGTGGAGCAAGTCCATCTGATGAAGTGGAATGATAAGGAAGTTTTGCTGGTTCTAATGGTTTGTGAAGACAGTGAGTAAAGCTCTCTGGGGCACTTGCTAGTGAGATTTCATATGCATTGATTGGCACTGGCAGAGGCTGAGTTCCAACCAAACATGGCTCCCTTCTACTTCTCAGGTAGCTCCAAGTCAAATTTTTAATTCAAGGACTTAAAAGTTCTACTATTTCATTCAGGGTACCAAGAGAATCAGTGCAGGTTAACACCGTCTCTTCTGCTGGGCATTAATAGTTTTCCCTTTATACATATGTGAAAGCTACTAACTGAAGGCTGAACGATTCTTGGCCCTGTACATTTACAAGACAGAGGGCACAATTTTTGCACAAGGTTGTCTTACAGACATTATTTATTATTTACACATTATCTAAAGAAAGGTTTCACTTGGGTCAATTCCACCTTCCCCAGAACTGGGCCAGGAACATGAGGTTACAGCTACTGCAGAATTTAAAGCAGGAAGAAAATAATGGAGGAATGCCCATACTGCAATTTGAAATTATGGAAAATGGTATGAAATGGGTCCATGTGCAGCGTGAGTGGCTACTGAACAGCTCTCAGTGGAACTTTTGGGTTTGATATACATATATATATTACAATAAATATGTTTTCCTGAAACATGGAGAAAACGAAAGGCTCATTCTGAAGTTCTAACTGCTTCTGGTTGGTTTTTAGAGGGCAAAGAGGACCCAAATCCACTGTTACTAGCCCAATTTAGATGGAGCAGCAGTCACGCAGCATTTTGGAGGTGCACTTTTTTGTGTCATTACAATTAGTATTCCATGTTCAAGCTTCAACCCAGAAATACAAGGTAGTTGCTCCAATGCAGAAATGATAATCCAGGCTACCTAGCAGCTTAGTCTGATCTGGCTCTTTTCTGTCTGCATATTCCTAGGGCAGTAGAGCTGTGTGTTTATGGCTAATACAATATTCTGTCGGTTTTTTTCCAGCCTTGCTACGAAACAGTGAAAATATGGCTCCAGGAAAACTTACTAGCAGTGGGAATCTTTGCATTGTGCACAGCTATGGTGCAGGTACACTTTAATACCAATTTTCAAATCCTAATTAATCATAACTAAATAAGTAACCATAGATCCAGATATACTCTGCCCAAGGCTGTTTGTTTTAATAAGTCCAAATTTTGCATGTTAGAGTAAAACTCTGCAAGATTTAAGTCTTTTGTGTTTTTAGTTAAATACTATGTACAAGGTACAGAGCTAGGAATACCGCAGACATTTTCTGTTTTATGATGCACTGCAAAGAGCAGGCACTTTACGAAGTGGTTTATCTAAGGCTTAGACTAGACTCAGTGGAGAGGTAGGTAGTCCCTGCCATCCAAAGACAGAAGCCTACTCAGGGTAGGGTGAATTGCCTTTTAGGGTACCTGTATTTGTCCAGTAATTCTCCAGAGAGGACCATCCGCTTAGGATAAATATCTAACTTCAAGACAGCCTAAAGGTAGCTTAACTCTTCATCCCCATCCTCACTCCTAGGGTAAGGTACAAGTTGGGATGTTGTTACCATTACTCTACCTTGCCAATAAAACCCTGCTCCTTTTCTATTAATTGCAGGGAAACTAGGAAAGTAAGATTGGCATAGACTTGCCTGTCAGATTTTTGAACTGTAGTTATTTGCAGCATGACAACTTTGGTCAGAGAAGAATCAGTCATCAGCGTAGTACCTCGTCTCTTACTCTTACGTACCTGTGTCTTTAATCCAGCTTGCCGTGGCTGTGGCCATATCGTAGCCCCAATGGCACAAACCCTGGCCTGAGGATACACAGATGAAAGCTGTGCTGGAGCTCAGGCTGCTTCAGCTATGTGTCAGCCCTCCATTTATGGCCCAAAGTCCCATTCCTGAATGCAGTGAAGATGGAGCTTTAGTTCCCAGCTCCACCTCTCTCTCACACTCAACAGATAAGCAGAAAGGATGGCATCGCTCAGCTAATTAATACCATGTAACTCCAGATTAACCCATGGGGTTTTTTTAAATTTTGCATGGTATACCACTAGCAGCAGCAAGAGCGAGCCTGGGAACAGAATTCCACTCATATTCTCACTGATGTCAGATTAGGCAGAATGGCATGTATCTTACTCTCTCACATGTCATGCATTAGCTGCAACTTATTAATGCAAATGCCTGACTCCTCATAGGCCCAAATTCAGTAGAGTTTCGGTTTCTGTTTTCCAGTATAGTAAGCAGATATGCTTAGGAAAAAAGATAAACACAGGATGATCATATGGCAGAGAGACAACGGAAGACTGTTGTTAATTCTGAGTAGATGCTCAAAAGCTGTTTTTTAAAATATAGTAATATATTTAGGGATTCCTTAAAAGATACATTAAAAACCCAGCAGCCCATGTTAGATTCCTTCTCATAGGCCTTGATTATATTTAGCGTATTTAAGAGAATACTGTCTTTCTGACAGAAAGAAATTACTAGTTTGTATGGGAGAAAACACTTCAGACAATTTAAAAATGCTAATTAATATTCCTAGTAAATGCTGTGAAATACAGAGAAAACACCTCAGAACACAAAAGATTTTTAGTCTGTCTTCCAGCTGCACCACGTGATTGAATCTAACTGATCATGAAAGTTTTGATGCGCTGTAACCTGAAATGAATTGGGCTCCCTCTATTGTTGCTGTTACAATGTTGTTCTGGCCCTAAGCATGTGGTGACAGCTTTTGTTTTTCATGTTAACAATCTTACAGTTAGAATCATACAGTGACACAACTTGAAGGATATACAGGACACGCAGCAGAACAATCTGCTTCATCATGCATGCTCAAAATTATAAAACAAATTCAGCCACCAAGGTTTTATTATGCAGCTGTCCCTGAAGGTGTTCCTTTGCTAGGAAGTAGAAGGAAGTGTTCAGAGGATACTTCAAAAGGCACGTGCTTACTAGAAAACAGCACGCTAAAGCTTTCACTGTGGAAGAATGGGAAATGAAGAAGATAACAGCTTTATAACCATTTTTTTTTTTCTTTATTTATAAAGTAGTGTGTGTGTGTTATTCATGTACTTTTTCAAAGTACTCATTAACAGAACTACTATTTATTTAAAGACTGAATTTGAAGTGATCAAATTAAGTGCTTAAAATAGAATTCATACAAAAAATTTCTACCTGGCAAACCTTCTTTCAATGACAGTTGTTACAGTGGTGTTGCAAAGGACCACTTAGTACATTCATGTAAGTACTTCAGCTGGAAGGGAAGTAAGACTCTCTTCCCCATCCCCTTTTCTGATGAAGTAATCTACCAGAGGCGGCACAGCAGGTCAGTAGCTGGGATGGGAGAACTACCACCTCCCTGCTGCTTCTCTTGACTAGGCTGAGTAGAAAGACACCTGCATTGTTGATGAGGCACTGATGGTTGATTAATGCATGGACAGTCTCCAGTGATTCCCCCATAGGGACCTGTGCACGCATACGCTTGGAAAAAGTAAAGTACAGCGCACCATCCTTTGGGTCAGGGATGAACCTGATTGTTTTTCAAAACAATAGCTACAGAGAGAACCACACAGCCCCACAGCTGTGGGTTGCTACTATAAAATATTTTTGAGCAAAAGAAATCCATACATTTCTTTTCAATATACCTCTTCCCAGTATCTGGTGGCTGCTTTTCGTGGAGAAATCAACTCTCCCATGCTCTCATTGTTCATTCTGTAAAACAGCAATACAGATAAGGACAAAAGGCAGGCAGAAACTAGGAACAGAACAAGGACATGAACCTGCAGGAAAAGCAGTGTGTGATGTGTCTTCCTGTGTGTGAACAAAACCAGAGTAAGCATGCTTTTCTCTTTTTTTTTCTTTCAATAAATAAGCGTTTTTTTACTTACTGATTTTTTTTTTTTTCTCTTAGATTCTCGGACTCACCTTTGCAATGACCATGTATTGTCAGGTAGTCAAGGCAGACACCTACTGTGCATAGATACCATTCCCAATCTTTCTGCTCCTCCTCCAAAGGACACAGGAGAAATCTCCTTCATGCTCATTCATCTGACCTTCCCCCCCCTCCCCCCCTTTGTACTATAAACTGTGTATAATGCTATCTTTCTGAAGATTTTGTGAATCACCCCACTTTACTGAAGGAGGAAGAAAAGTCAGTACTTGAACTGGCACAGGTAAGAAGCAGCCTTGTCTTTAAACAGAAGAAAACCTCCAAAGAGCAATGGTTCCTTTTCTGTGGCCTATGGGAAAGGCAAAGGAGGCTGCTTATGAGGGGCTGATCTGCAAACCAGTGTTAGGAAAAGGTTGCACTGAGGCAACCTCTGCAAAACCTGCCAGGTTACCTTCCTGCATTTCATGGTCTGGACGAGAAGGTGTAGAAAATGAGCGTTCTTCAGCACAGAAAGAAGGTACAGAGTAGCTAGCACTGAATGCAGTTGTAATTTTACCACAGTTTGCACACAGCTAAAATGTCAAGATCAAGCAGCCCTGCCTCCAAGTGTCTCAAGATGATTTTGTAGCCAGGAGAGGATCATCTTCAGAAATATGTTATTTTAAAGGAGTATTTTTAGTCTTACGCACTGCAAAGTCAGGCTTTTAATCAGAATCTGTACAGTGAGATCTGGCTGTTAAGGGAAAACAATATTGGACATTGTCTCACTTATTAATTGCCAGTGGCATATAGATGGTTGACTGTATATGTAATATATATTACATTCATATACACATACTGTTCTGAAAGGAGGTGAAAATACCCAGCATCTAACCTCAGAAAGAGGGAACCTTTCTCTATCCCATTTTACATTCCAACTGAAATAACTGAGTATTATTTCTTGTAGGAGGCACTATCAGTTATACCTCTGGGAAACAAGTAATTACTTTCAGCTGTATCTTTATTTCAGTAAACAACTTGTGAGTGGGCTCTCTCTGTCATTCTACTATGGTTTTATTTTTTATCATCCCTGTTTCAAGTTAGTCTGCCAAAAAATATCACTCCTTTCCACACTTGAAGATCTGTACAAAGCTGTCAGCTGTTCCTTCCCTGAATGTCACCATTTCATTAATTTACTTTGGGATATCATCATCTATCTGCAGGTATGATAGAGTTTGTCTTGCTGAGGAAAAATTTTTTTGCACATTGCTCATTTTTCTGAGAGTTATTAAGACTTCAGATGTTTTTATGCTTAGCTTTTTTTTTTTTTCAGCTGCATGCTTACAACAGCCAAGACACATCAGTCTTCGTTAGAACTTGAGTCACCTCAGTTCTGTTTTTCAGACCCATCTCCCTCTGCCTGGCTGTTGGCTAGAATATGCCCCACACTTTCTGGAATTTGCAGAAATCAAAATCATAACTTTTCTTAGCCAGAAAACAACCACCAGTTGCCTGATTTCCCCACCCTGCACTGGTAAATGAAGTAATTTATGTAGTACCCTTCTGTGCACGCCTTCTAGTGATGAGGTTAAGAATCAGATGTTTCCTATTGTTCAAACAATTGCCCAGATAATGCACATGTGACAGTGAGCAGCTGAAGCACCCCAGGGAAAGGAGACAGCAGGGAACAGGCAAACAGAGTGATGCAGCCAGCCTTTGAGGACCTCTCAGCCACTGACAATAGACCATAGACACCGCAACCATGGTGCCCTGTTTTCCCAGAAAGCCCAACGCAGCCATTCCTACTGTGACAGACTAGAAGCATGCATCAAGTTCAGGCAAAAAAAGCTACCCTGTACCTTTAGTGCTTACAACAGCAGGTCTCAGCTATAAGTGACAATTTGCTTTGATTTAAAGGCAATTTCCAGCAGTAAAGCTGGACTCACCAACCCACAGCCTATTGAACACCTGTAAGTAACCCTTTTCTGGACCTGCACCATTAACAAATACTACTCTCACTGCTTAGGTTTTGGGGTTTTTTTTCCACTTTGCTGACGCCCTGCAGTGTTCTCACCCTCAGGCCCAAACTATTCCATGTTTTGTGGGGAAGTGCTTAGGACAGTCTGGTGTGTGAAAGGGCAAGTATCTTCCAAAAATCTTACCCCCCACCTTTATGCATCAACCTCTGTAGCATGGGGCATTTAGCTGTGCAGTCTAAGTGAAAGTAGTGTGCATTTTACGTGGATTCCCAATAGCTCATTATCATGGCAACCTCACCACCACTGAACAATTTTACTGCCATGCTAACAAGCCCTGATAAATGTTAACAGATCTTAACCCAAGACAGAGGTTAAACTGAGCAAGTAGCCCACACGCAGGCACCCCGTACCCCAAGCAAGAGACTTACTCCTGGTGTTACAATCACCACAGTCTCAATGCTCTCTGCTTCCTGAGCTCAGGCTGGCTGTCAACAGTCCTGCTCTTCAAAAGACCGTGCAAGTTTGTTCCTTCCCTCTCTCCACTCTGTTCCTTTCTTACCTGCATAGACACAATTCCACAATTAGATGTACCATTCATTCTTCGCATGGTTTATAGTTTGTACACTCAGGTGCTCCTGCTGACAGCTCAGAGTTTCCACCACTGAAAAGCAGCATAACAGAGTGATGAATACATTAATAAAACAATGTTTTTTTAAGAAAGATAAAAGGTAGACAAGTCTATTTGTAGTGATCCCTGCCATTAAAAATTAACACAGAGACAGCAGGCTGATGATGGCTCAGTTGATAAGAGCAAACCGTTGTGCAACAGAGCTCCCGCACAGGGCAATTCTCATCAGTCTGCCTGATGGCAGTGTAGGGAGAAGAGAGATCACAAGCCCTCATCCTGTGAGTCTCCCAATAATATGTGCTGAGCTCCTAGAGAAGACTGCTAGACTTCAGCTAAATCTACAGAAGAAACAAAATGAGAAACAGAGACTGAAGACAAGTCACACTTTGTGGTTCCCTCTAATCATTTTCCACAGTTTAGGTGTCTTTACAACAAGATAAACTGCGTCAGTTTTCAAAAACACGCATCTATAGGGAGTATGAGCAATACTCACTTTGTAAATCCTAGTCACTGCAACAGAAACATACGGCACTAACTGCTGAAAGAAAAAAAAAAAAGGCAGACCACACATTGCCACTAATAGTTCTTTTTTTAAACGCTACCCTTACACTGCCAACTGAGAGGCTACTGCAACTTGTTTTTAATTTGAACTGGACTATTTTCTATATTTGATGTTATTAAGTCTCTTCACACAGGCCAAACAGATGTTATGGTGCTTAAAGCATTACCAGCACAATCCAATTTCAAACCTCTGAACATACTGCCTATAACAAGCCTCAGACTTACCATATTTTCTTTTTAAAAGCATTGCATCCTTTCTCTGCTGACGAGGTCAGCATGTTTTGTGATATGTAACAGCAACAATCTTTAAGAACCAAAAAAAGATAGTTCCATATTATGCATAAAACTTCATGTCGAACTAGTTGAGTATAAATAAATACCCTGTAGTACATAATATCCATTTAAAAGGCTACTTATGTCGTATGTACGCAGAGCAACACAGAAGTCATTCCAATTGCCTCCATTAGTGTTTTGTCACTTTTAGTAAAGTCTTTTATATTCTTTTCACTTCTTATCTTTAAACATGAAGGAGGACTCAATACATTTAAATTAAAGACAGAACCAAAGGCAACAAAGACATTGAATGAGAGCACTCCTAATTTATACTCATTGCTCTTGCTGCTTACTAACAAGATGTGAAGGCACAGGGCGCATGGCTGAACCTACTGAATTCAGCAACATCAGGATTTAGCTTTTATATTCAGTCCAACATACTTCTGGCTTTTCATCTTCACAATTATAACAACATATATGTAGATATATTTAATAGAATATGGTTTATTTTCCTGTACAGTAACTGTCAGTAGCAGCCAAATCTTATTGCTTGTACAACAGAATTATTTAGCTCCACATCTTATAGTGCACAAATCACTGAAATTCACTTTCTGTTCTATGAATATTTCTTTGTTCCTCCCCCTCAAATAGAATAAACACATAAAGGTTTATACTTCTGTCTAATAATTACCATTGGAATGAAGCATTGTATGATTTATAATATGGAGAGGAAGGAACTGCACAGAAGCTGTAAAAATATTTTATCTTGCATCAGCAATATGGCTGCTATGCAAATCCACACAAGCTCCTCACTCCTCACAAACTAATTAAGAACTGGTTATGTCTTTCAGTGCACATGGCTCCTGGCTGCCTCTCCCCCCATTCATAGATAGGACAGGAGGTTGTTAGCATGGAGAAAGTTAAAGCCATTCACTTACCCCTTAGCTTCATTGTTGTGCTATAAATGTGGCACCAAAGGTAAGCAACAGAAACCAGCAGCTGATTGTGGCATTTATTTTAAAACCAGACTCTTTATTAACTTTGTCTGCAAGGATTCCTGCTAAGTGTGAATGATCTTCATAGATACAGAGTTAGACAATTCACAGTAAAAACAAGTCAGGACTCGCCATGGGAAATTTTGTTTGGATTCCATTGTGAGTTCTCCTACATTGTCACCGGTATCTTACCACAGTGGCCAGGTCTTCTCAGTTCTTTGGATTCTGTCACTGCAACTACAATGATACATTTTTGTGCATTCGTATAAAGAGCAAAATTTAAAATATACATTTTATTTTTTAAAAGTTATTAAATATTCTTTAAAGTTTACAACAGAATGTCTTTTGTATTCTTTATAATCAACTACACTACAAGCTACTACTACAGTGAGTATATACCTACCCAAAGATTTGTGTGTGCAAGTGTGCACACACAGTGTATGCAATTAAAAAAAAAAAAATACACAGCATACTTTTTTGTCATTTCTCATTACCTATCTTTGATTTGACCTATCCTTCCTTATAGGGTGTTTTTTTAAGTGGCTTACCCATTCCCAGGTAAATTTACACCCCTTTCTGTTTCCTCTTAAGGGCAACCTGGAAATTATGTGATCATCAGTAACAATTCAGAAAATACTGGGAGATCACGTTTACAGTGTAACAAAATACTTAGACCCAAACCCAATTATTTTCTGTTTAGAACTTGTCTGTTACTGATAATTTTGAAACCAAATTACTTTCTTTTTCTGAGGTGGTTGCATATATTCAGAAATTACATAGAAAAACTTAGAAAATTAACACCAGACTGTGTTAAAATGGAACAACTAGGAACTCCTACTATGTCAGATCAGAAAAAAGGGTCTGGTTAGCTAGGTATCTTGTCTGAAGTCTTGTCTAACACTGCCTTTTTCAATACAATTTATTGTGCCCTCCAGGTCAAACAAACAGCTTCGCAAGTGAAACTGCCTCTAAACTGGGTGCATTCTGAACACCACCGCAGGCATACTATTGAAAGTGTAAGGGTAGATACAACCTGAAAGTAGAGACCCAGAGGTTTTAGAGGTTGTTGAAGGAAACCTCATAAAGGATAACCCAAACCTTTGGTGGAAGTTGTTTACAACTCCCTCAATTCAGTTGGCACATTTATGTTACTTGAATTTTCTTCATCCCATTAAGCATACCACTAGATGGTCCAATTAACCACATCTATCTTTAATCCCTTTCTGACTTTGTGAAACCTTCTACTTCAGTCTTACAGCGTAGCAGTGAATTTCACAATTTCATCATGCCGTATACATTTAAAAGAACCCTTTTTACATGGATTTTAACATGTTGCCTTTCAATGTCATTTATTCACCACTGATTCTACACTTTACAGCCTAATTTGTCTTTCCACTAAAGCTTAAACCTGGGTAATGGAGTACACTATTGATTTTCAAGATCCCATTGTTTCAAAAAACTAAGCCCAGCAGCTATCCTAGTTCAGTTGTCTTTGCTTTTTGAACTACATGTTGGCATAGACAGAGGTGTTTCTATTTTAATCAACAGCTAGCCTAGTATTTCAGCTGACATCTTGCTATTATTCTCAAATGTACTTAACACAACTGGGAATATCA